CGTGTTAAATAATGTTTGAACGGATTTTTTTTTTATAATAACCAATAAAATTTAGCAAATCATTCAATCTAAACATAATATGTTATTCAAGTCAGTAAATAATATGGAAATATAAACGAAGCCCTAATATTTGTGCTAATCCTTGAAATTAGAGCTTATATTCTGCTATCAATTAGATGTCTGACTGACTGATGATATTTTTGATCACTTCTTCAATGGTTTTGCTTGTTTTTGTGGAAAAAGACAACTTTTATTTAATTTACTTTTATATTTGATAAGAAATATAATACAATTAGTTTTGTTATTAATTTGGCAAAAATATATGAAATTTCAAGGAAATGCAAACCAAAGATATGTACGAATATTTTTTTGTAATCAAATGAAGGATTTTAGTCTTTAATTAATAAATATTTGTTAATATTTTTGTACATATATTAACAGATGTTTTAATTTATTTAATTAATAATCAGTTTAGGAAATGAAGTGAAAATGAAATACTATCTCTTCTAAAGCTTTTACTTTTACACAAATATGAAAAACAAAAATTCCTCACATTTTTGTTTTTTTAAAAAGTTTTCATTTCATATCGTATATAATTTAATACTTAATATATTAAACATAATTCAATTCAAAAACTAAAAATAATATTTATTACAAACAACTATTTGATCAGAAGGTTATTAACTATCAAACAATTCTTTAGCTCTGGTTATCATTTAATCAATACTATTATCCAAAGTATTATTCAAAATATTTTTCTTCAAAAAATAACTCATTAAATCTCTGATAGAAAAATAACAAAACACTCGACTTTACTATAGAATTGGTTATAACTTGTGTTATATTCACATAAATTATTATATATTTTTATTTTTTGTGTTTTTTCTATAAATATCGCAAAAACCATACATTATTTTTTCGTAATAAACAGTGCCATAAACTGAACAAATCTTATCGTTTTATTTATTACAAAACCCTTTTTAATTTTATTTATTATTTAACTCAATGACATTGAGTTAAATAATAAATAAAATTAAAAAGGGTTTTGTAATAAATAAAACGATAAGATTTGTTCAGTTTATGGCACTGTTTATTACGAAAAAATAATGTATGGTTTTTGCGATATTTATAGAAAACAACATAAAAATAAAAATATATAATAATTTATGTGAATATAACACAAGTTATAACCAATTTTATAGTAAAGTCGAGTGTTTTGTTATTTTTCTATCAGAGATTTAATGAGTTATTTTTTGAAGAAAAATATTTTGAATAATACGGACGATAATAGTATTGATTAAATGATAACCAGAGCTAAAGAATTGTTTAATAGTTAATAACCTTCTGATCAAAGAGTTGTTTGTAATAAATATTATTTTTAGTTTTGAATTGAATTATGTTTAATATATTAAGTATTAAATTATATACGATATGAAATGAAAACTTTTTAAAAAACAAAAATTCCTCACATTTTTGTTTTTCATATTTGTGTAAAAGTAAAGGCTTTAGAAGAGATAGTATTTCATTTTCACTTCATTTCCTAAACTGATTATTAATTAAATAAATTAAAACATCTGTTAATATATGTACAAAAATATTAACAAATATTTATTAATTAAAGACTAAAATCCTTCATTTGATTACAAAAAATATTCGTACATATCTTTGGTTTGCATTTCCTTGAAATTTCATATATTTTTGCCAAATTAATAACAAAACTAATTGTATTATATTTCTTATCAAATTTAAAAGCAAATTCAATAAAAAGTTGTCGTTTTCCACAAAAACAAGCAAAACCATTGATGAAGTGATCAAAAATATCATCAGTCAGTCAGACATCCAATTGATAGCAGAATATAAGCTCTAATTTCAAGGATTAGCACATATCAGGGCTTCGTTTATATTTCCATATTATAATAACATATTATGTTTAGATTGAATGATTTGCTAAATTTTATTGGTTATTATCAACAATCCGTTTAAACATTATTTAATACGTCCTTTATTTAGCTTTAATTGTATGTTCAAAAATTATTAAATTGATTTAAGTAGTGCTGATTTAACCCGAAAGAAATGATAGCACATTAGAAAATGTGGCCTATTTTAGCTTTTACTCAACCGGACTAAACAAAACACAGAAACACTATATTTGAGTGGATTTATTGTCTATCAACCAAATGACATGAATTGTTCAAAAGTGTAAAATTCTGTAATAATCACCTCAAATACCGAACCCGAGAAGTAGACAATACTGCGACAAAAGACCGATGTACTGTACATCCCAGTCACCATTTTATATACAGTATAGAATTGTTGGTATACATAGGCTTATGCCGTACAACTAGTGACAATTTACAAGTTGAGATTGAGAAGATGCCCGAACCGGTTGAAGGATATATACCCAAAATATAGCCATTTTTAGACCAGTTTTTTCGAAATTCACCCAAATTAAGTTAAATATCTTTTTGTGATCATCTCTCACACCAACCATATATACTCCAGTTATCCCTCTATGAGTTGTTTTAATCTTTCTCTGCATTCAATCCTTTATGACAGAAATTGTAAAACAAATGTAGTGTCAAAACAGACATAACTTACTTCTTTGGCTCTCAGAGCAGCCATTTTTAATTGGAAGTCATTAAACGGTTGTCCAAAAAATGGTCAATAATTGCCGATTATTACGGCCAATACATAATATGAAATAATTCATAGCTTCATATTTTTAAAAAATTATTTTTAATTTGTAATTGTGAAATATGATTAGTTGACCGAAAGCGTAATATAACGTCACAAAGGATTGTATTTTCAAAAATAATGCATTAATTAAGTGCATCTGAATCTGTCTCCGGGATACCTGTATTCATAATATGATATTACAATATCTCTATTAATATTATACCATATATTATATTATGACATGAGTTACACAAAACAATAAAAGACAATGTTGAAAAACATTTCAATTATTTATTTATTGATAATTTAATGTTTAAATAAGAAAAAATAATTGATAAAACTTGCGTTACAAATGCAATAATTATTTATTCTTGTTTTTAATTTTAATTTACATTAATTATAACAAACAATAGAAGAGTATTTAAATATGTTTAGCCAACCCTTGCAAACGGTATTAAATTTAAACTCAAAGTTAAATCAATTAACAAATAATTTGTTTATCATTTTCCCCGAAATAATACTTTTAAAATTAGATTTAAAAATTAAACACAATTAAAATTCCGTTGATTATAATTAACGGAGAGATTGTTTGTATAGTAACTGACGGCACGGAATTCAGTAATTTATAAATGGGTTTGAATTAATCTTTTTAAAAATAATACTAAATTTTAAAACATTATTATTATTTTATTAATAATAAAAGATTCAAAACACAAGTAGTTTTAAGGTTAAAACTTTATGCCTAAAAATTTTTAAGTTTTTTCAATCGGAAATTCATTTTAACTATTCTTTTATTTACTGTTTTGACCAAAATTTCTAAATGTATTTCTAATGTTGTCCTCTGTTTTCAGACCTCATATTGTGTTTACGATTGTATAAAACAAATGAATTGGATGTGAATTGAGTCCAATCCTTGTATACATTTAAGTCATTTCAATGACAAACGCTTTACTGATTTATCAATGAAAGTCTCATTTGTAATATCTTTAATACATGTATAAAATCTCATTGAAGTTTCAATGAATTGACTCTAAATTCACTGATAAATAACTTTATATTTGGATTTATCGAGTGTTTAAGAAAAATATATAAATTTTCCTCTAATGTCATTGAGTACTTCTGTCCAACATTTGGATGTTATTTATTAAATACTTGTTTAAAATAAAAATAAGAGTTATTAATTACTAAATACTCGCTAATTATTTATATAACGTAATAATAAGTTTACTCAAAACAAAATTGCTATAAAAATAAAATAATTTACTAAAATTAATGTATTTAATGATAAGTTATTATCGTTAACTCGAAAGACCATGGATTTGATTGTTTAATATGTGGCACTGTTTATGACATTTTGTAAAACAAATAAAAATATTCAATTTTGGGAAGCATTTCATTAAATAATATTTGAATTAAAATCTAAAGTAGTCTAAAAATAGCCCAAAAATGGGATTAAATGGGAATAAATTGAAATTTTAAACAAAAATATTTAATAATATTTTTTATAACAAATTTTTATTTTATTACAGTGATAAAATGTTAAGAATTTAATACTTTTAATAGTACACATGATATTAAATTATAGATATTATTATCAATTCCTGAACCGAATAATAAATTCTGTAAATTAAATCAATTCAATAAATCTGTTGTCAAATACTTTACAATAATTGACTTACAATGTATACAATTCTCAATATTTATAAATTTAATTAAGTTTTATAGAATTTAAAATATAATCTCTTTTAGTGTAAAATATTAAAACAAATTTATCAAAAATGTAACAAATACTAAATTGTAATATGCTCAATTTTCACACAAAACATTCAATATTAACGCCAACAGTAATTTAGTGCGGAATCTATTGTCTCTTATTTTAAATGTTGTATTATTTTAATTATTAATATTATTAAAATAATTAAATGCTTTTTAAAGTATCTTTCATCAAAGGCATTATTAAATATAAGTTATAAATTTAATTGATTATAATTTAAAATATTTAATACCTTAATTGAAAACTATTATTACAATAATCTTAATTTATCTCATTGTATTAAATTAATATTATTAATGATGATTATAACAAATTTATGTTTTAGTGTTTAATCAATTGAATGATATTAGAAATATAGATGCAAATTAACAATATAACAATATATAAGTTATATATTTGTTTAGACATAATATTATTATAAAATTTTATCTAAAATATACTTTTAAAACTGAGATTCGTATTCAGTTTAAATCTGTACAATAGTTATACTCTATTCAAATAATTTAAACATTTGTCTAAATTTATAAAACAATTTAATTGAAAACGGATTGTAATGTTATATTATATTCTCTTAGTGCCGACGTTAATGAGGTATTTGCAGCAATGGGTCAGCAATTGTTTGTCTCCCGAATACAATTCGGTGTTCACTTCGCGGGTATAGATGTCGAGTCCGTACTGACCCTCTTCTGGGAATTTGATGAAGAAGGAGACGATGTCGTCCTCGATGTGCGCCGACACGAACTTCGAGAGCTTCTTCTCTTCGATACCGTTCTTATGAAGCGATGCCATGAAATCAGTCAACTGTCGAGACATTCGGAACTGTATTTCCAGAGTTCTGTCGGCAAATATGAGCGCGTCTTCGTGTGTGAGCGGAATGAGTCCGAAGAGTCGGGTGCTCTTCAGTGGTCCCCATTCACCGCTGGCGCAGTCGGGCAGTGGAACCATCACTGTCTGCAAATCGTCGCAATCGATCTTGAATTTGCAGACACTCTTGAATTTCATGGGCTCTCCCGTCACGTACTCGCGAGGAGTGGTGGCGTTGGCGAAGATATCCATAATGAAAGCGCCACTACAGGGGGCGTGAACTCGGAATGAGACCATATTTCCGACCACCGATTGCATCACAAATCTCTTGAGTCCGATGCCATCAAATGAATCTGATTCGCGGTCATAGAACTTAAGGTTGTAATGAAATATAAGGCTTGGAGTCATGTTTGTGGGCATCGCTATCCTGACAGTAGACGCGCCCGAACTGTCCGTATATAAGACCGCTCGCAGACTGTCGTCCGTGAAATAGAGGCCGTATCTGAAGAACAGGGAGCGAACGAAAGGCAATTCTTCGAATTCGCTGATCGTAATGGCAGTCTTGAGGAGTTGCCAATCGGGCTGAAGGGGAAAGAACTCGTATATGAATTCTTTGGGATCAGTGAGGAAGTAGTGGTCGTCGTATTCGTAGCGCAAACTATCGGATTTGCCTTTACTGCCGGGTTTGGGCACCTCTTTGGCGTTGACCAGATGTCTGGCCCCCCAATTGCATTGCACGAAACGCCACGCATTCGCGACATACACAGCATTCCAAGAGTTCCGGAACCGGTTGTCCTCGAATCGCACCCCCGGTTGATATCCGGCACTCTTTGAATACCCCTTAATCACCACACAATGCAAACCCGCGTAACTGTTGAAACAAAATTATTAAAAACATGTTAAATATTGCCGTCAGATATGTGTCAAAAATAATTTGACTTTTTTAGTGAATCGTATTTTTTTGGCCCAAAATAATATATTTGAGTTAAATTTGCATTTCATTTACTTTACGGCACAAATATAATCATTTCAAACTTATCACTCCTATTGTGTTAATGAAAATGATTTATTTAATTAAATGTTTTGTTTTTTGTAATGTGTTTTAATGTCATGTTTTGAATAATTAAAATAAACGCCACAAAAGAGTTAATGGAAATTAAAATATTGTTAACAAATTATACTTTTCTAGAGTTCATCTCAATTATGGACTTTTTCAGTATAAAGTGGTTTACAGTATATTAAATGAAAAGATTGTTTAATTCGACAACAATTTAAATAAATAGGCGAATGAGTCATTTGAACCAAATCTGGTGGGACTGTTGGTTGTGGTGGTGGGCAGGGGTTTGTGCTATGGTTTTGTAATGTTAGGTATTATTTGCAATGTTTTTTTGGTTTCTCTATGAATTGATTCTCAATTATTAAAATGATTAATATATTCATTGAATAAACAATTTGAACATAACTTATAATTAATTTGTAGTGATCGTAATGTCAACACTTATGAGATAAACATTGTGTTAGACTTAAAGCGAATCTAAACAACACAATAGGATATTGTATAACACAAATGAATTGATGGGAAAGTGGGCCAAGAAATTCATGAAATGAATTGTGGGTTCAAAACACGCGACAATTATACTATAACTTATGAAATATAGTATATGTTTAATGAAAACATAGATAAATAATATGATGTGATATTAAACTTATTATTTAAAAGATAAATACTTCAATACGAATACCATATGACATGAATCGGTGTATGCATTGAGTCTCACCTACAAAGCCGCTTAAAGAGGACGTGATAGCTTTCGGTGCCGTGTTTTATACCCCTAAGTATACCCATAGGTGTGTCCGCATTGATATCGTCGTCAAATTTTATTGTATTTAAATTTTTAACAGTAATCCATCGGAATATAGCCCTCGCTTTCTCCACATCAGTAATACAACTGCCGATCAATAGTCGCACCAAATCTGTGAACGTTTTCTGGTCTTCTCGGGCGACCTAAAAGTCACAAAACATATATTGAGTCATATATTTTCAATGTAATAACAATGTCATACATTAATAGCAATTTGATCGAGTTCTGCGAAAATATTGGGATCGTGGTAAATATCCATTTTTGATATGGTTGGAGGACTGGGAGGGGGCGGTTGACTCGGGTATGGCATTATTGGTGGCTCATCATCCGGACTAATATAATTACTCTTGACGTTTGTCTGCATTCATATAAAAGTATTATATTAATTGAATACTATATGGCATTCATGTACAATATGTATAATCAGCATGTATAATAGAGATGAATAGATTACTTGTGAGAACTCATTGAATTTTTCGGAAATGAGGTTGATCATTTCTTTGCTCTGTTTGTCCACCAGTTCGGCGGTCGCCTGTCTTTCCTGTTCTAACAGTTTTCTGGTCAGAGACTCCTTCTTTCGGTCCAATTTAACGGTCATATTCTTCTCTAAGTCTTCTCTTTCTTTCTGGTGTCGTATCGTAAGTGTCTTTTCCTCGTCATTACTGATCCGTTTCTTTTTGGTATTTATCTCGTGTTGAAAACGAGATGTAATTCTTTCCAATTCTTTCTCCCATTCTTCCTATTATTTCACAATAAATAGCAATCAATTTAAGCGACTATTTTTCTAAATAATTTCAGTGTAAATGAGCACAAACTTGAATTTGTTGACTAATATGGGTTTCTTCTTCAGCCCTCTTCTTGGAAAACTGTCGGTAGAGTTCGTCCTCTTCCTCGCGGTGTCTCATCTCGAGTTTACGTTGCGTTTCGGTGTCCTTCATATAAACACAATAATTATATTCAATCATTTGTTGACAGGAAATCATGTATTGATATAAAGAAAGATTGATTTTTTCGTAAACTATATAATAAAGTATTAAATAATAGAATATGTATTGAAATGCATGAGAAAATTGCGAAAATCTTTTCACTTATAATTGAATTTCGTGTCTATTATTATTGCTTCGATCAAAATAATTGCTAATTTTATACCACATGTTATAAAGCATATAATAATCGTATTTAATTCACTTCTGCCCCTAATTGATGGACAGGAAGCACACCTTTCAAGTTATAATCGATAGCATATACAATAAATTCTTGTCTATATATAGATTTTATGGATTAGTTTGTGAAATTTTAAACCCAAATTTAATTTTTGTTTTCTTTTATTTATTTGTCATTAAAAACTCATTTCATAATCTGATTTCAATTAAATAATAATCTGTTTAATCGTATTGAACGAGTGCTGAAAACAAATAAAAAGCAAATACAGTACAAACCACTAGTGATATAACTCATAGACATATGGCCTTAATTTGTTGTATAAGAAACTTAAATAATTATCACTTTCTTATCATTCAAATCACAAGAATTGTATTCTCAAAGGACTCATAATAAAGAAATATTGAGAACAGATTCTCAATAGATTTTAATGCATTTCTTTCACTTCTATTCAAATGTTATGTTTAATTAAAGTATCAAATAGTAAGCGAATGGTAACATAAAAAATATTTGATTACTTCCCACTAGTATTTGATATGAAAATAAACGCATGTTTTGGACAATCGATACAAATTTAATGAATACATAGAAATGTATTTTAAATGATAATATTTTTGATTTTCTTACTTGGTTGAGAATATAAAATAAACGTTAATATCGTGTTATACTGTAAAATGTATGGCTGTATCATAATTAGCGTGTGTGAGGAATAAATTAAAATATTCCCAAAGTTTATTGTTCTCATTTGAAAGTGTTTTTGACATCATATTCACTGAAAAACCAGGTTTTCTTATATTTATACACTTCTTCTCCCAAATGCCTCAACACTTGAATTATGGTTTTAACAAAATATTTATTCATTTCGTTCCCATATTTGTTATATTTTTCGTATGAATTTACACAAAAATCCGATTCATAATAATATCCATATTTTACATTAAAATTAAATAATGTTTTATTATGTTTGAGATTATAAATCTAATTTTCGGCCATAATTAAAATTGATATGAATTCAAAATAAATACAAAACACAATTAAAAATAAGATTTAATGGAAGTGAATATATCATAATAAGTTATATCATATGATATGACTATAAAATATGCATTAAATTCTGGGTTTATTCACGATTTGAGAGTCAGTTATCGAAAACAATGTTATTGTGTCAGACAATTGCATTCATCGCAAGACAACGTCTAGAAAATAAAAATCAATTTTCAATTCAATTCAATTGAAGTTATGAATCGGAAAATTACGTTCAAATGAATGTCCATTAACTGTCATTATGTAAGGGAAAGCCCTATCACTCAAGCCTTTCAAGAATTTGTGTTGATAACACGATTTGCTAATTATTTCAATACATGTTATTATTATTGTTGTAACTATTTTTGGTGTAATAAACAGAATGATAGACAATGAATGCCTTTAATTATGTAATATATTTACAAATCCTGATTCAAACAGTGCTGCAAATTTCAAATAACTTTATTTTATAAGCGTATAATTAATACTAAACAAAAATATATATTTGTTGTCCATTATGTTGTTTGATATGCCATAAAATGGGAACATATTATCGGTTATACACTAATATGAATGCATTTTTAAAAAGATTTTATTTTGAGAAAAGATTTATTAAAACACATTTCATTTAATTTGACTGTTTTTAATTTAATGGATGTATTCATTAGAAAAGCATTACGTTAACAGATATGCTAAAGAGTCTCACGAGTCTATGTATTATATAATAATTTTTTTGCAAAATTAAAGTCATTTTAAAACAGACCATAAGATAAAAACTCTATCAAATGACCTAAACTAGAGGTCAGAGATTTATTATTTAAATTGAATGCTAAAAATGTATACAATATATTGATTCGTAACTCTATTATAATGAATATATTGATCTCATTATTTTAAATTAAGACTTGTTTCAAAGCACCAGAAATGTTATTTTTCTCAATCTAAACCTTTTTAATATATTTATAATAACGATATTATCACTTGAAATATCTTTTTAATTGAACGTTAACTCTACATAAATTTTAATAGTTTTTATTTATATATTGAGATAATTTCACAAAACAAGTAATAAAATTAAAGGATAATAAAATATTCCCAATAAGCAGCAAAAATAATATTACAACCAGAAATAACCAAGATAGTAATTCATTAAACTAACGAATAAAAATAATTATATTAAAAGGTGTCAAATAAAACATAACAAATTAGTTAATTAATAATAATTATTATTAGTAATTAACAGATTTCGTAATCATATGTTGCCTTTAAGTGTTTGTCTCAAAAGTCTGAAATCTTATAACTTAAATAAATGTCATATTTTGTAAATTATAAACAAATTATTTAACTTTTCTTAGTTTATATGAATTTATATTCACAGTCGTGAAGATATTATGTGTAAACTATCTTATTATGATTTTCATACTTTTATATCCTTTTGTTTTTATATAAACTTATGATTAATATTTTATAATATCATATAATTGTTTGAATACACGTAAGAATTAAAAACTAAATTCACTTTAAATGTAGATTTCATAACATTACTAATGAAATGCAAATCAAATCCATAATAGTTTGCAAAAGTAATATACGTATAAATGCAGTCTTTTTTAACAACAATGTATTTTATTTTCATACAATCAAAGCGTCCAAAAGCATAAATTAAACTCATATTAAGGCATATTTTATGCAAAATCCTTATCAAAAATTTCCATTTTAAACAAATGTTGAGTTTTTTAAGTGCAAGCATTTTACGAAGCAATCCATACAATAAAATATTTTATTTTTGTTTATTTATTTGGCTTTGGGTTCCGAGTAATACCAAACCCTATGCATGACTACCGGTGCACATCTCGTGAGGTCTCGTACGAAATGAACACATATTTTGATGATATAATGCATAAATTGTTGCATAAATTCACTCTATTGTCGTGGAAAATGTTTTGAAAGTTTATTTAAATAAAAGATCAATGAAATACTATAACCTAATCTTTAAACGATTTCCAATAAATATCTTCATATCAAATGTAAAAGAAATTGTTTGAAATTATGATAAAAATATATAATCTATTGGTCATAATCTCCCGAAGATATTTATCTTTTAGTTAAACACAAAACAAAGTTATTTTTACAAATGAATACATATTTCTGCTTAGATCTGAATATAGAAAACACATATTTCTTATTGTTTTAAATAAAGTTCAGTAAAACGAGTCGACAAACAATTAAAATTGAGACAAAAGTTGACAGAATTCACTCAAGTGTTGAAAATTAATTATGAAATTTATTAAATACATATAAAACATGCATTTAATGTATTTAATTGGTGATCATGAAAATTCTTGTAGACATATATACCTTAAGACACGGAAGCGATGCGAGTATTTGAATGACAGTCTCGTTATGTAAGTCATGATAGCTGTGCTAAAGTGTTATTTCAAGTTTTTGTGTGTCTATTGTTGTTATGGATGGGAGACACACACCAAACGAGAATCTAATGGACATATCAATCCTTAATAGCAATTAAATATTTTGTTAAATACTAGACGACAACCCGGAAGGCAACCAATCAAACAATGGGTAGACTCGAGGACACCCTAAATAATACCATAAGTATTTACGAGTTCTACTTATGCTGTACTCTATGCTAAACTCAATATACTTTACAATAATTGCATAAATATTATGCAAACCTTTCAGTTATTTAAACAAAGAAATTCTGTGTTCCTATGGTTTGGTGAAACATTTGCTTAAAAACATACAATAAGTCCAACCAATTAAAGTGTTTTGTTTTCTCGCACTGAAATGCTTGCCTCTAATCAAAGACTAATAAAAAATAGTCCTAATATTGCTATTTTTAAACTAGATTTACGTAATGGTATCATAAATAAATGACAATTGCATAAGTCGTGAGAAAATGTCAGCTAAAAATTATGCTAATATTGAAATTCTTATATATTTATTGTTTGTTAAAATTCTTTGTCAAAATAATGTTAGAAATGCTGGTTTAGTACATACTAATGTAATGGTTAAGTCAATTATATATGTGTTTGCATTAATCTTCAAATTAATGTGGGATTTATATCCAAATAAGTGTTTTCTGTGTTCTATATATCAATGGAAATAACATTTCTTTCACTCTTTGTTAACATTTATTTGAAGGAAAAAATTTGAGTTCAATTCAAAATAGGAAAACAGATCTAATAATAAAACATAAGAATAAATATTTTTGTAGCCACACATGCATTGTATATGAAACTGAGTTTTAGTTCAATAACTTTTTCTCCGACTCTTTTCAATTGTACGATCGTTTCATTCATTTTTTGAAATGATTTTTTTTCTCCGCCGAACAAACATAAAGACAATAAGAATTGATTATTAAACCGAAGCGTAAAAAAGAAATCCTATAAAACACATGATATATAAAGTTTTATTTTTGATTCAAAAGTCTATCATTTATACGTTAAAGACAAGAGATTTTAAAGTTGTTTTTTGTTCAATATATCATTAAGTTATCAAAAAGTTTGCAAACTATAGCCCAGAGATTGAGGGCTGGGAAGCGAAACATTCATTTCAATCAATTCAATACAAGTGTTGGGAAAAATTTGCAACACTTTTTGAAAAATCATAATAAAATTGTTTTCTAAAATATTGTATCGACAAAAAAGTTTTAATTGCAAATAATGTGGGAATAATTGAAATAAACAATTTTACATTTATTATGCACACATGTATTATACCCTTTGATATTAGGCTAAAGAATATTGTAACAATATTTTGTGCAAAAGTGTTAATTTGATTGGAATTTAAGGGGGTTTAGGGGTTAAGCAATTTAAGTGCTGTATTTATAATGTGATGAATTTTCACTGTAATGTGTTTTTTAATCATAACTCTGTTTGGCATTAAAATTTGGGAACCAATTATAAATGTTATTCATTGCATTTAAATGAATGCATTCATTCGCTTACTTAACCCAATCCGAGAGCGATATAAATAAATAATATTATAATAAATTAAATAATATGTGACTATTTTCAGAGTCACTCCTATTAAATACTGTATAAATATAGAGCAAAATCATATGAAACCACTGTTTAACCCGATTTGGAGTGTATTTTAAAATATATAACCATATTATTTAACATTGTTTTGAGATTAACTGAATCCCATTATTAATTGGTAATAATTAAGCATTTATTATGATTCTAATCGTATATTTATCAATGATTTCTATAATCATTTTAATCAATTAATAATGCATTCAATCTATTTATAAATGAATTCAATCGAAATAATTATTAGCTATCGATTAATAATATGTTTGCATCTAATCTATGGATAAATTATGTCACTCTTGAGTGTTCAACAAAATACAAAAACTAAATTAAATAATCGATAAAAGTTTAACAGAGAATTAAGGAAATGATAAGCGATTTAAATGCCAGAGAGAGAGAGAGAGAGACCAAAAATGTATTATTCGTTTGGATAAGTCTTCCACAGGTTTTCCATAAGATATTTATTGCTCACGAAATGCATGAATCAATTGTAGGCCTCGACTCTCAAGAGAGAGAGAGAGAGAGAGAGAGAGAGAGCACAATAAGACATAAATTGAAGACAATTTCATTGATGGTCGTCTTTTTTAATTAAATGGCAAACAATAAGTTGATTGTAAGCCAACATAACAATAGTTTTCAGTGCAATAGAGAACACCTACTTTTGATTGTATTTACTAACAGTTAGTATTTCTTTTTTTTTCATCCAAAACATTAGATTACAAAAGAAAAACATTTTCGCACAACTAATCAATGAATTGATTTGGCGTATGATTTGCGAAACCAAACCGTTATCTATAGAGTTATAGAGAAATTTCTTATACAGTATTAAAAGAATTGAAAAGTTTTTTTTATTTCTTTTCTTTCAACTCAAAGAAACACATGATTGCATCGCAAAGTGAATAGCCTTCAAGAGGTGTACTGTATTTTGCTATGTATTATAAACTGCATATTAAGGTAGTATTCAATTCGCTCCATATTTTACATTTTGCAAAAAGAGTTTGGGCAGAGTTTTCGCAAAAGCAATCATATCTTAATTACAATTTTCTCGCACCTGTGGCTTAAATCATTGATATCTATTGATTTTCACGCATTGTTTGTACGAATCTAAATGTTTTTGTAATGATTTACTCACAAGGAATTCATTGATACGACTCTCGACTCCGGAGTGTTTGTAGATCTTCTGGAGTCGGGTCTGATTGACGGCGTGCTGTATATGGAGTGCCGACGCGTCGAAATGTCCGGCCATACTCTCGCGGTTTGTCTTCGAGTGGTCGCTGTCCTGGAGTTGTTTAGAGTTAGTTAACGCTGTTTTGATGCCCAAAGCGTCCGCATTAAAGGTCGCTTTCCCGGAGCCCCTGATTTGATCGTTGACGAGATGGCTATGTTTGGGTACATTCAGCGCCGCTTTAATCCCGACCGACAAGCCGTCTAACTTTCCCGGACCTGTTTTGGGCACATGACTCTGACAGTAGACCTAAATGTTTGGCATCATACAAATGAAATATTGGTTAAAAATATATAATTCTTTGACTATAAATAAGTGAACAAAAGGAAAGCAAAACAATTAAAGACAGTATTAAACACAAAATGTGTGATTCTGTCGAATGAATGGCTGATTGAAACAGTTTTTGTGCACTTTTTGTGTAAAATATATTTCTTAAGGTGTATTCAATTGTGGGGTAAATGTGTGGGCAAAACAGGAATTTTATTGTGTGGGCTATTAGAGTAAGGCATAACAGTTATAACTTTTAACACAATTTTTGTGTATACGGTATAAAAAACTCCTACATTTAGATACAAAATATATATAAAATTAAGTCTCTTTATGAAAGTGGTTACCAATTGAGTTATAAACACCTGTCCCTTTATTTTATAACCGTTTTAGCGATCATTTTATATTCAATTTGATATCAAATAAAGCGAATTCGTGTTTGTATTCAGAGAAGTGACTAAATTAAAGATCAGACAAACACTTCAATAACTATTTCCTATTTTCATTGCCTTTTATCACAATTAACGGCACATTTCATGCTTTACTTCCAAAGAATTCGTGATTCAATTGATGATTATATCAAAAAACTATATTTTCACTCAATGTAATTAAATTATACAATATTTTATTTATAATTAATGTGTAAGTGATATGAAAATTGTAAGATTATTAATAATTTATTCGGAAAATTATAATTTTATCAGCCGTTAAATTTATAAATGTAAAATACTTTATACTTTACACTTTAATAAAAGTTAAAACTTATAAACAAATCTCAATTACGAGAATATATGCAGCGTTTGATAACATTGTATGAAATAAATACAGCAATTATTAGATGTAATTTAATTTAGCAATTGCTGGGAAATTGTTTAAATGAGAAAATTATTCACTAGATATCGGGAATTATAAAATGGCACTTAATTCACTCAATTAGACGTCTAGTCTATAGTTATAACAACTTAATGTCTAATCATCTAAACATCAAAACTCAATGAACTTGTATTTTAAAAATAATTATTATTTTGTTTAATTGACTGATGACTGACTGAAAATAAAGGGGGTATTCGTTGTACCGTAATTATAACTAAAATAGTAAATAATGTTATTATAAATGTGTTTCACTATAAGGGCTCAATTAAATACATATATTTAAATAAATTTTATAATAAAAATATAATTTTCTATATCTTAAGTGTTAAATATTAATGTTTTCTTGTAATAAGTAATTGAATATTAAATGAATTTTAAACAATAGTTATTCCTAAAAATGGAAGTAATGTTTTAGTTTAATGTAAATTATAAATCACTTAATATCAAAAATTTCTGTAATAAATATAAAGTATAACAAAATTATTTTTTCAACAAAAAAAATTAGTTTAACTGTAATTCATATAAAATTTATTTTTTTAATCAAATTTAGATATTATTTTCTGGAAATGATTACATTATCCAAGAATTTTAATGACATTTAAATTTGTTCGCAAATGAATTAGATTTTGATAAAAGTCATGAAATGAATTAATTTTGAATAAAAAACTTAATTAAAAAATAAATCATTCTTTAGTTATTAAATGATTGATTTTTATTAAAAATATTTTGAATGACATTTTAGATATTATTTTAGTGGAAAAATCAATTAATGACTAATAATATAAATTGGTTTTTGCGATAGTTTGTGTGATTAAATCAATTTTAATCAATTTTTATTAAATAAATCTCTTAAAAACAAATCAACAATTTTAATGAATTCACTGCCAGTTCTCATAAAAAACAAAATAATTTCGATAATACTTTTGAAATAAATTGAATGCTAATTATTAAATATATTATAAAACATGAATAGAGTCTTAAAGTATTAGAAATGATTTTTTAAAACAATGTGTTTAAGAAATATTCACAAAATGCTTAATTGATTTTTAAGTACTTTCAATGGTTTGTGGGAAAAAATCACTGAATTTCAAACATTTCTCATAGAAATTATTTTAAATTTATAATTCCTGAAAAAACAGTATGCAATCAAATAAAATTTTCTCAAACATTCAATACAATAATAATATTCTAATTGATTATTAAATGTAATAAACAATAATTTCAATAATTATATGATTAAAAATCGCTAGATTTATGTTTTGTATTCAAAAACTTTTCTCAAATAATTATTGGATTGAAGGTTACATTTCAGTGACAAATAAGTAACGCTAATAAATATTTAAATCTTATTTATTTGATTATTATTGTTATGAATCGGAGTTTTGGCTCAATTTGAATGCGAAATCAAGAATATATTATTAAATAAAATTGCGGCAATACATGGAAACCTGATTTTAAACAAACTTTTATTTATGTTTTATCAGATAATTCACTTGATTTACAACTCAATTATATTGTATTAATTCGAATTTCTAACAAGATAAAAAAAATAGCACCATAAAGTACTGTATACTGTATTACAATTAATAATATTAATATTTTTATAAAGATTATGTAAATGTTTAGATTGAATGATATTAATTGATGATTACGAGAGTACGTAATTAGCACGAGTTTGACTGAAGTTTGTTCACTTATATCATCACATAATAAAAGTTTTCGCAAAATTATGGTTAAATGAATGAATTGAAGACAAAAACTCATTGAGCCATTGATTATGAATTTAATGGATTTCGATAATAACTTGTCTATAATTTATTCATTTAAGGAAAAAGTGACTTAAAATTCGCTTTCAAGTAAATGAAGGTTTCTTTTGTTAACGATATGCTAAACATTTTATGGCTCTTTCGATGGCATATCGTTAACAAAAAGATCATTACAGGAGAAAGACATGCATTTTATCGGAAATTCGAGATTTTGTTATTTGTTGTGCTAAATATGTTCTCAAGAAAAATAATTTTACGTATAAAACAAAATATAGTGTAAAAACAAATGCTTGCATTCAATTCTATGAAACAATTTTTTAATTTTTAAACTCAAACTTTTTAGCTTAAAGTGTTAGTTGAATATAAAGTAAAATCTTAAGCCCTTTAAAATAATTTAGTTTTGCACTCGAGTTTGTGCTCAACTCTTCATTACTTTCCGAACCGATTGTTAAGTTTATGTTAAAGACAGTCGTAATGACAGCAGAAATAATAATTTTCTTATGGGAATAGAAATGAGGGAAATATTTCATAGATATTAGAGAGAAAGACCAAAAATGTATTATTCGTTTGGATAAGTCTTCCACAGGTTTTCCATAAGATATTTATTGCTCACGAAATGCATGAATCAATTGTAGGCCTCGACTCTCAAACGAAACAAATGATGGCAAACGAAGGCCATATAATGTGTGACCTGAGGCTGACTTTACATAATTGGCTTCAGTACTAATAACAGGAAAGTAATGCCTCAGAGCTCTCTCTCTCTCTCTCTCTCTTGCCGCAAATAAAATTTATTTTAG